GCAACTCTCACCCTCTAAATTTTTCCCTGCTAAAAAAGTCATGTGTTCAGAAATAGATTGAGAGAAGTCAATTTGCTGGATCTGCTGGGTCTCCTGTTCTCTTTTTAGCCTTTCGATTCATTACGACATTTTAGTTATTTGTCAAATCGCATTCTTTCATGTTGTTACATTGTTTTGCCGTACAATTTTGTTATGATGAAACCGCTTTGTTGGATCGACGTTTTGAACAACTCGTCGTCTTCAAAGACCTGAAAGTAGTTCGGAGTTCTTGACCTGTGCCTTACGCGACCAAGCACCCGACCAGGCCATCTGCAACAGCTCCCAGAAACTTGAACGCCAGAACATCTCAGCGAAGAAACCAACCTTCGGCGGTTCCACCAGCTTTGCCTTCCCTCTCAATTCTGTGAACAATAAGGGATTAAAGAGACACCATCGACGGTTGTGAGATAAGAATTACGCGGGGATTTTAAACCCACAAAAAACACCATACTAGACCTCTAAAAACCCTTTCCCATACAAGACACGAAATTTCGAGTATTTCCGTTACGAATGATCAAAATTTCTAGAGAACAAGAGCGCGAAAGGTTCTTGAATATGACGAACGCACGATGGGAATGGTTGCGAAGATACGGAAACGTGTAGCAGATGGTGAAATCCTTCTTTCCGAGTGATAAAGGAGAATTTGTGGTTTTACCTCGCTCACTAGATCGGGAAATCACAAAACTTCACCTAAAGTGATACTTCTGTTTACAGTCACTCGACGGAAAAGACGTTCCTCACCCAATGTCACAAGCTGAATGCTTTGTGGGTATCAATAAAAACGATAGCAAAATTGGATAGAAGGTTGACCAAAAGATTGAAGTTGTATACTCCCTCGTGCCCCGTTATCTATAACCTGATCAAGACTCATAGTTGTCCAACAGGGCTGAGAACTCAGTTAATACTAGTGATTATAAAATAAGACCCATCATCAGCTGTGTCGGAGGGCCAACGGCCTGGTTCCTCGATAAATGTGTTGGTCAACCACTTCGATACGTGCCATCGCATCTACCAAACACCAACGAATTCCTCGATCGCCTTCGTTCGTGTAGGCCTCAAGAAAACTGCGTAGTAGAATAGTTTGATGTATCTGCGCTTTATACGAATGTTAGCAACAACAAAGCTCCCCAAGCAGATTCCAAAATGCTGGACGAGCATGAAACAGAAATTGTGACGTTCAGATTGACCAAGGTTCACATTATGACTCTGATCTATTAATGCCCTAATTGTAACATTTGCGGGTGGGGAGGGCAGTACTTCTCTCAAAACCGAGGACTTGCTATGGGTCAGCGGCCACCACCGGTCTCAGCTATCTGTTTTTTATGAGCAGAATAGAAAGACAGCTCATTATGTGCTGTCATCGATGATTGCTGCGTAGTTACATCACCGCAGCAAGAGATGGATGAGTTGTTTGACATCCTCAACCGACAGTCTCGGTATATCAAGTTTACAAGAGAGGTTCCGCACGAAAGCTGGCTTCCTTATCTTAACACACAGATAAACATCTCAAATGGATGGTACAATGTTAAGTGGCATCGGAAGAACAGCTCTGAGCATATTTTACCCACGCAAAGTCTGCTCTCCCTGAGACTGTGAAACGTCCAGTTGTTCGCAACATGCATAAAACACCTTCCACCACTCATTCCCTTGTGTGGGCTTTGAGATCACCGCATAATTCTGATCTTGCGACTGTCGATTGTATCTCATTATTCCCTTATTACTCACGGAATCGAGTAAGACGACAACGTTAGTGAAACCACCGAAGGTTGGTTTCTTTGCTGGGATGTTTTGGCGTTCAAGTTTTTGGGGTTTGTTGCAATTGGCCTAGCGCATTTGGGCGCTTGGTCGGGTAAGCCACAGGTCAGGAGCTCCAAACTACTTTTGGGTCCTTGAAGACGACGAGCTATTCGAAACATCGACCTAGTGAAGCGGTTTCATCATAACAAACCTGTACGACAAAAGGTGTAGAAACATACTATGACATGTCCAGGTTTCAAGAAGACTGAACATGGAAGCTACAACGCATTCTTTCATTTCATATACCTCTACGTTATGCTTGATATTATGTAGCGACGAAACTTCTCCCCTGGCAGCTTGCTATGCAACCACAGCCTCTGCTTCCACCCATTAAGGATGTTGATCTGTCAGCTTGTGATTACATACGACATGCGAATTTTTCGCGTTTTCTGCCTCCGTAACATTCCCCTTTTATGTTTCGCTGATGGCTCACCTTGGGTGCATAATAAATGAATAGATAAATCAAACCGTGAATTAGAATCAGTGGCATATCAGAACACCTTTCTGAAATTCTGCAATTCCGGAGAGTAAAATTCGCAGCGGTCATATGTGCAAGAGATGTGAGAAAGGAAAGCACAGCTAAAAACAAGTGGGATGTTCAACGGGAAAGGGATGTAGGTTTATGAATAAATGAGATATCAATGACGTTCTTTACAGTGATGGACTTATTTATTGCGGCTCTAGGTAGGAAGGCGAGGCAAGTGGCAGAAATGGCATTATGCTGTAACCAGTTAGTGAGATTTCACTAACCGGTTTCAGCATAATGCCATTTCTGTTTCGAGAGTTCGTGCCAATACATTCCTGACATCACATCATGCGATAAAGACACAATAAAGAAGTATTATCACTAATTCTCTCATCACATTACACTACTACCTGACTGGGCACCTATCGTAATTATCCCTTGAAGTCCGAAGCTAAAAAGTAAAAAGATGGCGTGGAAAGAAATTAGGACCAAAAATAGTTCTTGGCACCTCAACTAATTCACGTGACGGGTGACCTGCCCTAGGGGCACACTTCACAATAAAATGATTTTCATGATTTCTGTTTGGAATGAGTCTTTGACCTTCACGTATGGCACGGGAGACGCTGTCGGATCGAAAGGGGCTAGATGGGGCGTAGTAAGTCACGGCACTGTAGACGCTGTGGAGGGTGCACCATTCGGGACGGCCACGTTGCACTCAGGCAGCTTATTGTAGCATGCTGTACTCAATGACACAAACAGCTGGGCAGCTCTTCCGAAAATCCCTCCCATGCAACTTTTTCCGTCGCATTCTTGTCCAACTTCTGATTTTACTCCTTTTTTCAAAGCCTCGTATATTTCTAGACACGCTAACTTTTGCCTCTTCTTCGAAACTTTTGCACTTCCCTGGACTATCGCTTCAATTATCCGTCAGGGAGTAGGTACCGCAAAATTATCGTGGCCTCTAATTGATTGGCAGCTGACTTCTCTGTCAGAATCAGTTGAGCTGATGTCAATTCTATGACTTTTAAACTTTACTATTATTGTTATTATCATTGCTATTATTATTGCAACTGCACATTTGAGATAACAATACAAAATGTAAAAAGTCAAATTACGTCATCGTGACATACTCCAAAACTCTAGAGTCTCACCTGTGACGTATGCAACATTTCGAGAAATGCAAAAAGGCTCATAGCTATGATAATTTCGGGTCTTGTGTGTGTTTTAATGCCACGCGAGACTTCTTTTAGCTTTATTGAATTGAAGAACGAAAGAACCGGAGCCGGAGGAAGTGGAGTTATTCTTGATAACACATGCTACGCTTGGTGTAGAGGAATCTCTATACTCCCCGCCACTAGAAAGATGATCGTCGCCGCTATCGTTTGCTTCTTCTTGTGTCGCTGAGGCTGACTTCGTTTCTCGTGGTCGTCGTCATCATCATCATCGCCGTCGAAGTCGTCGTCTTGTGCGTGTGCAATCGTTCTTGCGGAAGGAAAACGGTGGTTGTTTCTCTCATCAGTGATTTGGGAGAATGTCAATGGAATCGGGGATTTTGAAAGCATTCTTTCAGTAAATTATTTTGCCGGATTTGCGTGGTTGTAACTTGGTCTCTGATGGAGTTCGTCCGCGGTGTTGAAGTTTCAGGAATCACTTCGTGCAAAGAGGGTTCTGGTTTGAGTTGGATAGTCGTGGTCTTGTTGGTGACTGAGGAATGGATGTGGGTGGGTGAGGCTACCATTTGCGACAGAATGGTAGAAGTGGGTGAGGGTTTAAGGTTGACTGTCATGGAAGAAGAGACAGCCGTTGTTGAGGTACCTTTTCCGCAAGGGCGAGGACGTAGACTGTATCGGGGTTCGGGCGAGGATACAACTGTAGTTGACTCTATTTGTTCTGATGAACTCGTATCTCCCAATTCTAAGGAAATTATCAAGTTCACTGGTCTGCGAGTCATGCGTCCATTGGCAGTCGAAGCTCTACATTTCTGATGTCGTCGTTGTGAGAGTGGTGTATCTTCGTAATTCTGCTCATTTTCCAGGTGTTTCGTGGCGCCAAGGGCTCGGCAGTCAACACTATGTTCCCGATCTTCCCGACGTATGGGGTTTTTGGAGTACCACGTTTATTGCTGGTGTTAAGTTTGTGTGATTCACGTAAGGCGGTCAGATATTGCTGACTCCAAATTCTCCAGAAGTGTTCTACCAACTGATGACTTGTTTTAAGTGCTTCTTCGGTCTGTTGTCGAGATTCCATTGATTGTTAACCAATTCTAATGTGTTCAAATGGTGTTGTTCTGCGTACTCGCTGCTCAGGGAGATCGTCCATTTCCGTGTATCGATAGGAAGATTGTTCATTTTCTGACACGGTACACATCGTGTTAACATTGATCGAACCATTTGTCTGAGTTTTGGAATACAAAATTTTTCGCGCACATTTGCCATAGTGTGTGCCATACCGCAGTGTAGTGGTGAATGTGCACTTTCCACAATTAATCGAGCAAGTTCCGTTTTAGTGGCGATGAGTTCGGGATGTTTGGCGTTCAGAGATAAACTAGAATTTCCTAACCGTCCTTTGCACCGCAAGATTCCCTGCTCGTCTTCTTTCACTTTCAACTGTTTCAAGGCTGCTTATTTTTCTGCAGGCAGATGGATTTTGTGATGATTTCGGACAAAAACTCTTAGACTTCCTTCCATTTCTGTCGCAGTTATGTATCCCAATGGTTTTGCGTGGATATATCGAGAATGTTGTTTTTCAACTTCTTCTTGAGGTGGTCTTTCACGTGAGCAAGTAATTCTTTATGAAACGCAAGACGTATGCTAGCACTCGTTGGCATCTTTCGAGATTGCTGTGTCGTTTCCATTCGAGTAGTTTCGCAGTACCATTGGCTGTTTCAGCGGCCAATATGCAAGCATCTTCGTTGTCGTTCAGCAGCAGACTGAACAATCTGCACTCCTGAGGCCACTGTTCCATTGAATACGAGATATAGGGTGGTCCAATCTACCACGAATGGGTCTTGAAATCTCTTTTATTCAGTCCTCTCGTCGCACAGTCGGCTGGATTATTTTTGGTCTCCATATAGTCAAAGCGATCAGGAGGTAGCACTTGAGAAGCTACCCGTTGTATCTCACGATCTCGATTGCGTACTAACACGCCGGTGGATGGATTCAGTTGTTTTGAAGGGATCCAACGCAGAGCGATTTCTGAATCCGATAGAACTGCAATTTCTTGTATATCCAGCGCTCTTCTATTGCTTCATATATAGAAAACATCAAACGCACTGCCATCGTCAAGACGTTGAGTTCCATCTTGGAAATCGTGGGTATTTCTTTCACTGACGACAGTTTGGATTTTCCTGCGACTAGAGCTGATCCCTTGTTCGATGTAATGTATGCGCATGTGGCCATACCAGTGTTGCTGGCGTCGGAGAAAACCACAAGCTTTACTCTATCGTTGATTTGCGTAATTCTCCAATTGACTTCGCAGTGGAAGCCACTTACTTCTTCGACAATATCTTACCACTGCTGTTGATGTTCATGAGAAAGTATTTCGTCCCAGCTGTAATCGCATTTCCATAAATGTTGCAGAAATCGTTTTCCATGAAGTGTGATGGGTGCCATCCATCCAAGGTGGTCATAGATGGAGGCTACTTGTTCGGAAATGGAGCGTTTTGTGATTTTTCCTCTGGAAGTATACATGCGAGTCAGAATTAGCTCGTCTTGGCTCAAATTCCATAGTATCCCGGGAATTTTCTGAGTAGTCTTCCGCTCAGATCTTCCATGCTTATTTGTTGTCTGAGATTTTCATCGTTAGAGACGGATTCTCTGAGATTCATTCTCATATCTCCAAATATGGCTTTCGAATTTTTGTATAGGTGAATTGCTTTCGCTGTAGATTTTGCCGTCATTATCACATTGTCGACATACGTATTGTTGAGTATTTCGTGAGAAATTCTAGGATTCCTCGAATTGTGTCCAAGATGGTATTTGATCGTTCCAGCCAAGAGAAATGGCGAACATATTAATCCGAAAGTGACGCGATTGAAAAGGTATATGATGAGGCTGTCTTGGATCACTGGTTGATTCACGTCTTTCAGGCACAGGAAACGAGTTGCATCTCTGTCTTTCAACTGAAGTCCCACTTGGAGAAAGTTCTTTTTGACATTACTAGCAACAGCTACATCTCCAATTCTGAATCTTAGTAGGATATCCCACAGCTTAGGGAGCATGTCCTCGATGAACAACGTCATCGAGAGATGGAGCGTTCTTCAGGACGGACGCATCATATACAACCCTCAACTTGGTTGTGTTCTTGTCAGGAGTGATAACTGCCCGATGAGGCAGGTAATGAACTATTTCCCATCGGGAGGTTTGTCTTTATCTACTTCTTCAATGATATCGCGATCCAGTTGAGTTTGAATTGTTTCCTGATACTGTTGTAGTATTTCAGGACTAGTTCTCAGTTTGCCTATCAGGGTTTGTAGGCGACATAGAGCAAGAGTCCTGTTGTCAGGCAGCTGTTGAGAGTCTTTTTTTCACGGGAATCGTACATAGTAACCATCCTCCTTTCTTTCAATGGTTTCTTCAAATGCGTTCCATACAGCGTTATCTGTTTTCCGACGTTCCTCTGTCTTTGGGCCACCGAATTCGCCCACTTCAGACGATTCGAACGTACAGAAGTCTTCACACGATTGCGCTGTCGCTTCAGATTCCACTTGTTCCACTTCCTCAGTGTGTGTATCGTCATTTCCTTCTCGTCCTTGTTGATTGTCGTAGAGGAACCCCTGTTGTATCCTGCTATTAGATAACCAAGCATGGATGAAATGAGTCGATACCCTGATGGTAATATTTGCTGTGGCGTCATGCCGTGGTCCAGTAGAGAAAAGAGGTCCGTGCAGCTCAGAAGTATTTGTGGGCTGATGCTTGTCAGATTCGGATTTATGGAGAGTTGCAGTTCATTTTCAAAGAGGAACCGCTTAAATTCGAGGCTGAGGCGATTTCGTTTAAGTTACTGGGTGATTGTGTCGATCCTTGTGACCTTGAATGTGTATCGTGTGCCATTAGCGTCCCACAGTTGGACTGTTGTGACACCACATGTTTTTGATATTGGCTGATGTGAGCCGAAAGTGTTGGTATTGAGCCTTACAGACTCAATGTCTCTGAGGTGCAATCTTCTTGCAAGTCTGCTGCTTATGAAAGATCTATCGGCGCCCGAATCAAACATGACGTGAACAGGTTCTAATGTTCCCGTGGTTGAGTTGTGCACTTTAGCCTCTCGTGCTAGGACTATATCGTTTTCGTGGTTGTTGAAGTTAAGCACGTTATCGTCATTTGAGCTCAAGCTCTGTTTGGAATCTGAAGGTTTGGAATCCGAAGTGTTGATATTTGACGATTTTAAGGATGTGCGTTGTGCACTTTTTTTTACTTGCTTCTTTGGGTTGGGACATTTGCGAAGTGTTGTTTGGGAAGAGAGTTTTACCGATTGAGGTGTGGTGTCCAATGATTCCACACATTCTGCAAGCTCCTCTGCAGCATGTTGCTGCTGTATGATCTCTTTGGCCGCAATTACGGCACAGTTTTTGCTTCCTCATGATCTCGAGACGCTGTTCAAGTGTAGGGAATTCAGTGCAGTTTTTCGCAGCATGTCCTGTTTTTGAACAGTAAAAACAAAGCTTCGAACGTTGAAGCCCCTCTGGCTTGCCTTCCGTCACAGCTCTCTTTCCTCTATCATGTCATTTGCATGGTTCCCTTTGTTAGTGGGTATGTTCCGCTGGCCTACCACCTCAACGCGGTGGGTGTGTGAACGTGGGGCGTGTGGGCGTGTCCGCTTTACCACTCTTGTTAAAAAAAAACCGGGTTCTGTAATTTTTTTACTATTTCATCATTTGCTCCAATGCAAAGTTCCGGTAATTTCCAGTTATGCGAGGCTTTATATTGACCGACTTGCCGCTTCGCGTTCGAAACTGTGGTTAGGTAGTTGTCGATGAACTGGAGGGATGGCGGCCCCCTTGCTTGAGTTTCCCTTATCCGTTCGCCCGAGGTCGCGGTTGAATTCGTTCTTCACGCGTTAAGTTGCGCACGGCAAGCCCCGGTACATTACGTCTGAATCACTGCGTTCTGGACTCAGGACAAGGACTCGCTCGGGGAAATATCTTCCTACCAAAAGGGAGGCAACCTGTTGCCCTGCCACATGCTTTCGTCTTTAACATCAGATGTCGGCTTGTATGGTCCGAAAGCTCTCGCCAGCATTTTTCTACTGTTCGATGGTAACTTTGCTTGGAGCTTTCATTGTCCATTCAATTATATTTATAAAAAATATATATGTATATAAATCATCGGCACGTCCGCATGTCCACACGGCTAAGAGTAGGCCCCCCACGTGCTAGAGCCTGGCAAGTTACACGTGGATTCCATGCCAAAAACAGTAACAGAAATGGGCCTCATTCCCCTGAACCTGAGGGAGCCCCCAATACGGCGGCGTTGGGTAGGACCGCTCGGGAGAGGCTGCTAAAATCTCAGGGCCAAAACAGGCTGCCCAAAAGGAGAAGGACTAAGATGGCGATCTGTACTTTCAACGCAAGGACGCTTGCATCGGAAGCGTGTATAGAAGACCTGATGATGCAAGCTAGGAAAATCAAGTACGACGTCATCGGACTGACCGAGACGAGAAGGCACCGCCCGCTGCACGCTGTATTTGAAACTGGAGAAGAACTGTTCCTTGGAACATGCGACAGCAGAGGCGTCGGCGGTGTAGGTGTCCTCGTCAACACGCACTTGGCCATGAACATCGATTCGTACGAAAGCTTAACAACCCGAATCGGACGTTTGCGTTTAAGAAGATGTGGCTCAATCCCAGCTCTAACCATCTTCGTTGCTTACGCACCAACATCGAGCTACGAAGAAGAGGAGTTGGAAGCGTTCTATATGGATCTGGAGAGGCTCTACAGAGAAGACCACACTTTCTTCAAGGTCATCGTCGGTGATTTTAACGCCAAGATTGGCCCCAGAAGAACGGCTGAAGAGCTTCATATCGGGACTCATGGATTGGAATGGAATGAGCAGGGTGAAAGACTGTCCGAGTTTATCATGACGACCCACACCATCCATGGTAACTCGCAGTTCCAGAAGCCCTCTCATTTAAGATGGACATGGGAGTCACCTNCGCGCGGCGTGGGGAGATTTAAGAACATCGAGGGAGTAGTGAAGAAAACGAAGAACATCCGACTCCGCGCTCACCTTTTCGACACTGCGGTACTTCCTGCTTTGACATACGCCTCAGAGACTTGGACTCTACGAAAGCAGGATGAGCATGCAGTTAGCGTCATCCAACGCGCTGTGAAAAGGACGATGCTCGGAATTTCCCTATACACGCAAGTGCAGAAGGGAATCCGGAGTTCCGAGCTCCGTCGACGAACGAAGATCAGGGATGCCGTTGATTACGCCAAGAGATCGAAGATCAGGTGGGCCGGACACGTTATGCGATATAATGATGACCGTTGGACCAGGGCGCTTACGGACTGGGTCCCTGGGGACGTCAAGCGAACACCAGGACGGCCGCCAACGAGATGGTCAGACTTCTTCACGAAAGCTCTGAACGAAAGGAATGTATTGCCCCGTGTCCCTCGAGCGAGTGCGATTCACTGGACTACTCTGGCTTGCGACAGGGACGAATGGAGACGTTACTGGCGCCCGCTCGAGGAAATCGACGATCAACGGGAGTACAGGTGATGTTCCGCTCGACTTGACTTATGATTCTCAGTTCAGCCTTTACAAACTCTTTTGCGGTTTTCAAGAGGGTCATAGTGTTCCACGTCCCTTCCGCCTGAATTTTCGCTTTCTGACGGAGAATCTGTCTTTGAACGTCTAAAAAACTTCCCGAGAAGTTGTTTCTGTAGGAATGTGTTATCGATATGTTCTCCGTGAAGATTCAGTTGTGACGTAATGGAAGTAAGTTGCTCGCATAAGATTTCTTGATCTCTGATGTTGTCGCTGACCGACTCGATCGATTGCAGCTTACTCAATAGTCGATCTACCATCGCCTATGCGTCTCCATACATCCTTTTCAGATGTGCGATTACTAGAGGATATGTGTGACCGGCGACTTGAAAATGCTTTACTGATCCCTTGGCTGCTCCCTGTAACGCGTCTAGGAGGTAGCTCATCTTGTACATGTCGTCAATATCCTTGGAGTGCACGCTACTCTCAAAATATTGCCAAAAGGGCTCCCACTCCCAAATGTCTCTATCGAATTTGGGTGAGTGTGATTCCAGACTGCCCAGGTGATTTGTTTCTTGGGTCTTCCGACCCGACCAGATCTTCTTGCAGCTCCATGAGCCTCCTCAAATTGTTATGTGCGACATCCAGGAGTCTCTGGGCAGCATCAGTGTTAGCCTCTGATCGATTTAGAAGGTCCGATTTTGAATGAGACTCGTCTGCGCTGTCGATTGCTTGGGCGTACCGGTGTATCGCTTCTTCGACCTCCTGCATCTCCAGTAGCGTCGATGCTTTCGTCTTCCTAATCAGCTTTTGCACCTCGATGATGTCGCGGGTTCCCTGGTTGAAGCTGAGCAGATCAGAGTGTGTCGCTAGAATCGCTGCGAGACAGTTTTGTGCTCTCGTCAGAACCCCTTGTCTACTGCGATTAGAGAACTCATCTTCAATGTCGACAGGAAGAGAAAGGCCCCTATTCAAAATTTCAATGATTTACTCACTTGTTTTCTTTTCCTCTCCTGAGCGTATATCGGCCGATGCACCATATGATAATTCCGGGTCTTGTGGGTGTTCTGCTGCCACGCGGGACTTCTTTTAGCTTTATTGAATTGAAGACCGAACGAACAGGAGCCGGAGGAAGTGGACGGACGTACCTTCAAAAGAATGAACCATACTTCACTTCATCGCTCTTCAATACTGAATGATACGAGAACATGATAAACACCAGATCATTTTGAACTATCTTAAATAACAACCAGTCCTAAGCCATTCTTGATAACACATGCTATGCTGGGTATAGAGGAATCTCTATAATAGCTCTGTTAGCTAGTTTGCTTTCTGCTTTGCAAATTTCCATTTTTCCCTGGCATTCAGGCTTTGTTGGGGCCAAGTTATGAATTTATATGGAAAGTACCTCCCACTTTGAGCACGCTCGGCCCACAGCAGTTGGGGCTTCCTCATCTGATTAGATGAACCATTCCTTACCTTGATCTATTTTTTCCGACGTACGTGCTTTTTTGAGACCGAAATAAGACGCTGGTTCCTTGCCTCGCCCATCCAATGTTAGGCACGCCCCTTTCGAAAAGAGCTCCGCAAGCATTATACGTGCTCCGTCCATTGATCTCGTCCTATTCGCCCACACATCCCGTAAATGATCCGACCTCTATAACTGTTTCTCAGCTAAAACCGAATTTGACGACGCACAAACAAACAAGCAAACAAACAAACAAACATACATACATACATACATACATACATACATACATACATACATACATACATACATACATACATACATACATACATACATACATACATACATACATACATACATACATATGTATACATACATACATACATACATATGTATACATACATACATACATACATACAT